AACCTCACTTCTTGCATCTGAAGAAGTGAGGTTCTTACCCACGAAAGCTTATGCTCCCAATACTTCTGTTAGTCTAAAAGGTGCCACAGAACCCTCTGTTGCTAGTTATGAAAGGTTAGTAACCGTTTTTTCTTCTTCGAGAGCTTGCTCATGTTGATTCCATGCTAGGTGACTTACAAGCAGTATCCCAGAAGGTGGGCTTGGAGTTTACAGATGTGCTGATTGCAACACTGCTCTCCCGAAATTGGCAATCTCATGACCTGTTGGGTGATGGCATAGGGGGCCACGAAGGTGTGAATTGATGACCAAGTCATGGCTTTGCCAATGTCCTGGATTGGTATCTGCACAAGGAATGTTGCTGCTGAAGTCTGGGCTCTTGTAGAATGAGCTGTCATGATGGCCGGAGGCAGAACCTTTGCCTGCTTGTAGCAAGCCCAGATGCAGATGATTATCCAGGATGAGATTCTCTGGGATGACACCGACAGACCTTTCATCCTATCCACCACTGCTACAAAAAGCTGTGTCGACCTGCAGAAGGTCTTAGTTCTTTCATTGTAGAAGGCCAGGTCCTGTCTAAGGTATGCAGCCGACATTCCTCCTCAGTTCTGTGAGACTTTGGAACGAAGATGGACAGAAAAATGTCCTAGTTGTTATGGAACTGCGACATCACCTTTGGTAGGAATGCAGCTGGACCTTGTCCTTGAAGAACGCTGTATAAGGGGGTTCTGAAGTTAAGGATCTGATTTTGGAAACCCACCTGGCTGAAGTAATTGCCATAGGAAGGCAACCTCTCATGAGAGGAGCAATTTATTAACAGGCCCACTTGACAGGTGGTCTGTACTATGCCAATGCTGTGCTGAACCTGAGCCTGCGAACAGCCTTTGAACTGCCATACACTTTGTAAAAAGCCTTGGGGCTGCCGACAGACTGAAGGGGAGCACGGTGAACTGGTAGTGGTGTCGGCCCATCACAAACTGGAGGAACCACCTGTGTACATGGAAGACAGAAATATGGAAATATGCATCCTTTAAGTCGAGAGTGGCGTACCAGACTCCCGAATCCAGGGAGGAAATGATAGAGGCCAGGGAGACCATGCGGAACCTCAACTTCTTCAGATATTTATTGAGGCGATGCAGGTCCAGGAATGGCTCCAGGCCCCCTTTGGCCTTCAGGATTAGGAAATATCGGAAAAACCCTTTTCAAATCTCAAGGAACTTCCTCTACAGCCCCTACAAGTAGGAGGGCTTACCTGTCATACGAGAAGTTGCTCGTGAGAGGGGTCCCTGAAGAGGGACAGGGCTAGGGAGTGGGAGGAAGGGGTGGATGAAAACTGCAGGGTATACCCAACTGACACAGTACTGAGCACCCAAAGGTCTGATGTTATGTGGGACCATGCAGCATAGAAGGGAAACAAGTGGTCCAAAAACAAAAGAGGGGATGGATCCTGTCTCAAGTCTGGTATGCTGTCCTCGGGCATACCCTCAAAAGGCCTGTCTAGACCCACTGGGGTATCTACTCGAACCTGACTGGGAGGCAGGGGCAGAAGGCATGGGCTGGTGATGTTTATACTCCTTCCCTTTTCTCTTATAGGAATCCTGTCTTGGTCTTGTTCCAATATGGCAACTCCTAAGGTCTTATAAAGGAAAGTGAAACTGTCTAGTAAGTCTTATTTTCATTGCCGAATTGATTTTAACTAACTTTAAAAAATACTAAACAACCAGTCCTAATAAATCAATTTTTGTCAGTTTTTCGAAAAAATGGTTCTGTCAGAATGTAAGTAAAGAACTTTAAAAAAGACGGTTACTCACCGTTGTAACTGTTGTTCTTCGAGATGTGA